CATCTGGAGACAGAGGAGCGCGCGACCACATGATCTCGACCAGGCGGGGCTGGCGTCACAGTGGGAATTTGAAGTTCAGGAGGCTCGTACGCGTGTCGCTTTCGCTGGCTCTCCCCGGCGGAGCCACCCACGCTCGGCGTGTGCCGCTGTCTGCGGGGCTCCTGGAGGCCCCCCGAAGGCGAAGCCCTCCCTGACATTAGTGCCAGGGGCACGCCCGCGCGATCGACGGAGGGGGCGGCGACAACCCGAGCAAGCCCCCGCGGGCCTGCTCGGGCTGCCTGAGGGCCAGGCGCACATCACGAGCGGCCAACGCTCTTGCATCGGCGCTCTCATGCTCTGGACTCAGGGAGGAGGGAGGAGGGAGGAGGGAGGAGGGAGGAGAGAGGAGGGAGGAGGGAGGAGGGAGGAGGGAGGAGGGAGGAGGGAGCAGCCCGCGGAGACGCGGCCTCGCGGCTGCGCTCCGCGCGGGGCACCCGCGAAAAGCAGCGCTTCGGCTCCGCGGGGCCGCGAGCCCCGAGAGCCCGACCCCGCGAGGCCGCAGATGCGGAGATGCGCTCCGCCCACGAGCAGGGCATGAAGCTCACGTGTCGGGTCGGCGAAAGGGGGGGATAGCAAAGGGCAGGTTTGAGAATCAGCTCACGTAGCTGATTTTCCCGGCGCCTCCCGGCGCCGGAGGCGGCCATGTATCGAGGAAGGGGCCCCTCGGTGAGGCCGAGACCAGCTGCATGCAGCAAATTTCGTAAACCCCCCCTTTCCCAATCCCTCCCTTTCGTCCGGCCCGAACGTGGGAGCCCGCAGTCAGAGGCCTCCGGGATGAAGTCCGAGTGGATGGGGTCGGAGGGCCAAGCCGCATCGCCGGTGCATCGCCGATGCATCCGCGACGCAAGGGCGACGTCGGCGATGCATCGGCGCCGTCGGCGTGGAGAAAATCGGGCTCCCTATCCAGCCGCATCTGCGAGGCGGGGGTTTATCCATATCCACCGCCTGGAAACCGACGTCCTGGTACCCTAGCGGGCGGTGGATATTCCCCAAACAGTGCTTGCATTGAAGGGGTCCTAGCGGATGTTGAAAGATTTGGCGAACATTCCCGGCCGATTTCGGTAGGCGGCCGGGTCCCAGGTTCCCGGTTCCAGGTTCCCCCGGTTCCCGGTTGCTGGTTCTGGGCCGATGTCGGTGGGCGGCGGGGTTCCTGGGCTTCAGGTTCCTGGGTTCCTGGTCGATCTCCTTATCGATCGGTCTCACCACAGATCTCATTTCCCACCTCTCTGTTGATCTCACTATCGGTCTTAAATCGATCGCACGATCAATCTCACAATCGATCTCACTGTAGATCGCACGAGCGACCTCACCATCGATCTCAGTATCGATTGCAGTGAATCGACTTCACTATCGGTCTCACGGTCGACCTGAATATCGTCTTTTAAAAAACCATCCACTGATTGGGGTGTTTCTCTGGTGGAATGGATACATTTCGCCCCCCGGGGGGCCGAATATATTCAGATCCACCGCCTGTGGAGGTCCGCGAAGATCGACCCCCAAGGGGGTGACTGTGGATGCAACCCCGCCTCGGAGCCTCGGCGATGCATCGGCGATGCGGCGCGATCCTCCGACCCCACCCGCTCGGACCCCAGATGCGAGGCCTGGAGCAGGATCCCCCCCCTGCCGCAGCAGGTTGCGAGCGCCTCCCGGCGGCCGCCGCGGCGGGCTGCCCCAGCGGCTGGCGGGGCCGCCCGGGCGCGTGCCCCTCCTCTGGGCTTCCTGCGCGGCGCCATGGAAGCCAGGAGACCTGCGGGCAAGATTGGTACCCACGTCCGCTGCGTCCTGAGGGTCCGGGCCCCGCCCCCCCAGCGCCCAGAGGCACAGCGCGTCTGGACGAAAGTCGGGCCCCTGGGGGCCAGATGTTCATCCATCTCCACTGCGCCTCGGCCTTTTGGTGTCCCTCGCCAGGAAATCGAAGACTCAGCGGATATGGAGAAGAAGTTTGCCCGCCAGATTGTCGGGGGACCCTGAGATCCGACGTCACGAAATGCAACCTGGCACAAACACAATGCTCCAAACAACACAGACCAAAGCAACAAAAAACAACAAAAAACACCAATTTGACCGCCAGCGAGAAAACTGTGACGCCATGATCTCACAGACCCCCTTCATAAAATCCTCGTCATTCGGTTTTCGGATCATGCCTCCAATTTTCTGCGGCCGTTCGGGGCGATCTGGGCACCCAGCGAGGCGTAGCTGCTGAAGGCATCCCGAAGACAATAACCGACGAAAAGAAAAACCAAAAAAACCTCGGACCTCGAACCTCGAACTCAAGGATCCCAAGAATCTCAGGGCCTGAATGGGGGAGGGACCGGGGGGCAGGGGTTAGGTCGGGCATGTCCTCCTACAGGCGGATATTGGAGGGATTGTTTACTTTTATACAAAAAACCCAAATAATCAAAATGTGTCAAAAATCGTCCCCAAACAATTTGTTACTGTGTTTGAATACTCCTCCTGCAGAGGGACACGCCCGACTAAAGGCAGGGGCCAGCGCCGATTCCGCTCCCCGCGCATGCGAAAGGGGCGTCTCCTGCGGACGACGGCGACGCGGCCGTGGGCTTTTCACAGCTGTTTCACCACGAGGAGGGCGAGGTGAGGAGGAGACTACAATAAACACATACGATAATGACTATTGCTACAACAGATAATGGGGCATATTGTTCGTCGGTTGTTGACGGTCGGGAATGTTTGCTTACCGTGTCGCGGCGGCGGCCCCGGCAACGCGCTATACCGTGCGAGCTGACAGCGCGTCGAACCGCTCCGCGGGGCGGGGGGGTGGGGAAAGCTCGGGACGTGGATGCCTGCGCGTGCGACAACGAGTGTTAAGAACAACGTGGGAACAGGAAGAGGACCAGGGGAAAGGGGGGAGCACCTCGGAGGCCTGGTAAGGGGCAACAAAAACGAGTGAAGGCACAAGGTGCGGGGGACGGCATACAACCCGCTACTTACTCTCCCTGCTGACGGCTAGAAGCGAAGTGGAACGGAAGGAATTCGCCGTCCTTCTGCACTCCCTCACACTGAGTTGTTGTCATCCTAGGCCGTTTTTTAACGGCCACGGGGAAAGAAACAACACTCCAAAGACTCGTTGACGCGGACACCGGCCGCCGCGCATTGTGGGAGGCCTGGAAATGGGCACCAACACCAATTCAGGGGTTTGCCTCCACAGGGGGAAGATGATGCTAGATTTCGGTGTTGGTGGTAATATTTCGACCACCTTGAAACTAAAATATTACCACCATCACCGAAATCGGGATCTTCTTCCCTCGGTGGAGGCACACCGCCGATATTAGTATTGGTGTCAACTTCTAGGCCTGCGACATTGCGCTTTGCAAAAGCCAGGATCTGAAGGCCCCCGCCCATCTCGAAACTCTCCTGGGACACATCCAAAAAGCGGGAAGATTCCCTGGCGAGGGGCAACAAACACGCGTCCTCTCTGAGCAGGCCCCGAAGCCCGAAGCGCGGGGATCCTCACCAACAATCCCGCCCAGAACCAAGAGGTACCCACACCGCCATATTCCCCAGACCTCTGCAAGGGTGCGTTCTGACCCGAATTTCGAGTCGAATCCAGCCGTGGCGACGAGGGCCTCCCAGAGGGCCCGAAACGACGAAAACGAGCCCATCTTTGGTGTCGGTTCCATGGGAGCCTACGTGGCCCCCGGCGCCGCCCGATTTGGGCCTGGTTCGGACCGGATTTGGAACACATTTGGGGCAAAATTTGGACCGGACTGGACCGGACTTGGACCGGATTCGCGCCGTCACAAAGGGCGACGAGAAGAACGAGCAGGGGGAGGAGAAATAGGAAGGGCGCGGAGGAGCAGGAGAAAGGGCCAAAAGCCCCCCCCGAATGCGGCCCAGCATTCGGGAAAAGCCAACTCGACGTCGCCGCCCAAGGCTGCCGTGAGCAGACATCGAACCCATCTGGAAGGCTTCGAATTTGAGGCCTCCTAGATGGGGTCCGAGTAGATGGGGCTGGAAAGTTGCACCGCATCGCCGATGTGTCGGCAGTGTACCGGCGATACATCGGTGAAGTCGGCGGTGCATCGGCGATGCCGGCGTGGAGAACATCGGGCTCAACATCGAGCCGCCTCGCCGACGCATCGACAATGCGGTACGATCCTCCGACCCCACCTACTATGTTCAATGAACAATATTCTGGCTGGGCTATTCCCTGGTGACATTTCCAGCGACATTTCCGCTGGGTTTCCCTGGTTGTGCCATGCTTTTGATGGGATGTATGAAAATGATGTGTGCCCGTGCTGGCAAGACAACGCGGCCCGGACAACCCCTTGGACAACCCAACAAGGCTCTGGACAACCTCCCCCGAGACAACCGCCTTAGGACAAGCCTCCCAAGGGTTTGTTCCATAAGATATGGCACTCCGACCCCATCTGCGAGGATGTCCTCCTACAGGCGGATCTTGAAAGAAACATTGAAAGTAGCCTAAAGAAGTTCCACGATGGTCAAAAAAGAATCAACACATCGTCCACAGACTATTTTTTATACTATCTGTTGACTACCTACCAGACCACCCCAACCCAACCTGAAGACCCGAATTTCGGGTTGGAGGGGTACGGGTTCCACACGTGTTTTTGTCGATGTCTCCCACCCACCCCCACTGGAAATCGAGGGTAAATCTGAGCCTTCGGGCTGGGTTGGGGTGGTCTGCTGGGTGGTGATTTTTGAGTAGAGCCTGTTTTTTCTTTGACTCTGGCAAGTTTACTTGCATGGACGGGGGGGGGGCTGAGCCTGAAGCAAGCCAGGGGGGTGGGGGGCGCGGAAATCACGCAAGTCGAAAGGCACTTGCACGCTAGTATTCGCTTGAAGAGGGGCAAGGGGGGGGGGGGGGCGAACGCCATGCAAGTAAACTTGCCTGAATCCAAAAAAAAACAGGCTCGTACTCCTCCTGTAGAGGGACGTGCCCGGCGGAAGCCTATAGAGGACCGTTCCCCGCCCTCGGGGTCTCCTGGCGGAGCCTCGGCAGCCCGGGCGCCCCCCGCGGTGCCCCCCGCGGCGCCCCCCGCGGCGCCCCCGTCGGGCCGCGGGAGCGGCGCTCCGCTGCCCGCCGCCTCCTGTGGGAGGCTCCCCGGGGGGGGGGGGGGCGCCCACCCCCCGCGCGCGGGGCGGCAGCGCGGGGCCGGCCCAGGAGGCGAATCGCGCCGGAGGGAGGAGGAGGAGGAGGAGGAGGAGGAGGAGGAGGAGGAGGAGGAGGAGGAAGAGGAGGAGGAGGAGGGGAGTAAGAGGAGGAGGAGGAGAAGGAGGAGGAGGAGGAGGAGGAGGAGGAGGAGGAGGAGGAGGAGGGAGGAGGAGGAGGAGGAGGAGGAGGAGGAGAAGGAGGAGGGGTGGATACAACGGTTGGCGGCGAGCTCACGGGGGAAGTGAGAAAGTGCGGGCCTTCTCAGAAGGCTCGGAAGTCCCCCGGACTGCTGAGAAGCTTCCTAAACTCTCCCCGAAGAAACAGAAAACCTCTCAAAGGCCGGAAGACTTCTGAGAAGCCCCGCCGCCTTCTGATAAGACCGTCTCCTTCTCACTTCCCCCCCCCAAGCGCGCCACTCCCACTCCCAAACATGTCGTGGGGTTTCCGATTGGACGCAAACTTTGGGGCCCCGCTCGGGGATGTACGACGGGGGGGCGCCCATTCTCGATAGGGGTGCCTCCGAATAGCCTCCCGGGGGCAACGTCAGGGGCAACGTTTCGTGGGGAGGCGAAGGAGCGGGAGGAGCGGGAGGCAGGGGAGGAAGAAGCATTTCACCACACGAGAGAGGAGTGGAAAAGGAGCAGGCGGAGAAGGAGAAGGAGACGGCCACAAGGGCGATAGGGCGAGGCGGGCCGGGCGCAATGCCGGTGTGGGAGGTACGGTCGGGGAACTTTTTGCTCAGCATGTCGTGACGGCGGCCCCGGCGACACGCCACGACGAGGGGATTGGAAAAATTGAGCTCTGGATATGTCGGGCGTGTCCCCCCACAGGGGGATTTTCGACGAAAAATAAAAAATACCCCAAACATACCCCAAAAAGGTCAGAAAATAGTCAAAAAATAATCCCCGGACTATTTTGGGATCATTTCTGGATTATTTCTGGGGTATCTTTTATTTTTCGTCGAAAATCCCCCTGTAGGGGGGCAGGCCCGACTTAAAGCTCTGGATAAGGAACCCAGTATTTGGCAGCCAGTGGACATGTAGTCGTGCACTGGCCATGGATATCGCCGTCGCCCTCATCGGCCTGAGGCCTCCCGGGCACACTCATGAAGGAAAGCCCCCCTCGTAGCATGTCACGGCGGCGGCCCCGGAGCAACGCTGATGCCTTGCGAGCGGATGGCCTGTCGTTCCGCCTCGCTGGGCGAGAGGCTTAGAAAGCCTCGGGACACTGACGCTCGGGAACAGGGCATCGGATAGCGTGTCGCTCCGAAGCGTGGTGGGCCAGAACCGGCGGCGTGACACGCTGCGCCAAAATTTCTGACCGTTGCGGCGATAGGTTCAGGGAGGCCCTCCCTCCTCCTCCTCCTCCTCCTCCTCCTCCTCCTCCTCCTCCTCCTCCTCCTCCTCATCCTCATCCTCATCCTTCTCCTCCTCCTCCTCCTCCTCCTCCTCCTCCCCCTCCTCCTCCTCCTCCGAGGCCCGAGGTTCGAGGTTCAAAACGTGTTCGTCCACTCCAAGCGGTCTTGCAGCCTCGGGGCGCCCTCCAGCGGCGGCGCCGCGCCGAGAGCTCTCCCCCGGGCGGCCCGCATCGCCCGGAACGGCCGGCGGAGAGCTGAGACATGGCCCCGAACACCAGTTGGAGCCTGTTTTCTTTTTGGACTCAGGCAAGTTTACTTGCACGGCGTTCGCCCCCCCCCCCCTCGCCCCTCTTCAAGCGAACACTAGCGTGCAAGTGCCTTTCGACTTGCGTGATTTCCGCGCCCCCACCCCCCGGGCTTGCTTCAGGCTCAGCCCCCCCCCACCCCCCCGTCCATGCAAGTAAACTTGCCAGAGTCTAAAAAAAACAGGCTCTTGGAGGGGGAAAGAAGGGGTCGGGCGCAGGGTCCCAGCGATGGTGTCGTTCTGGGCCATGAGTGGGCGATGCATCCTCGATTGCTGTGTTCGGCGGGGGTGCCAATTGGATGCCAATCGTTCCCGATCACATACATGAGCGATACATTGAGCATACATGGGCCATTCAGCCCCCATCGAAGACCCCCTGTTGCAGACCCCCTCTTTCACCCTCCAAACCAGGGGCAATATCGAGGCGAGGTGGCAGGGGAGGGCGCTCTCCCACCTGACGGAGGGTCTGCTGCTGTTCTCGGCCTCCGCGGGCCCTCGCCGGGCCCCGGGTCCATCCAAAAAACGACCCAGTCGGGAGCGGCCAAGAGAGGGGGGTGCAAATAATCATGACCGGCGGCATGTGCACGGCCCAGCGGGGGGGCCAGGGAACGCATTGAAACAAGAAGAGGCGCCATGAAATCTGGGGAAATATCATGGCCCCCGCCATGATATCCACCCCCCCTGGTCATCACCCCCCTCTTTTCCGCCCCCGAGGATGTGGTACCACCGCGGAAAGCGCCGGGGACGTCTGGGGAACCCGTGCTGAAAATAAGGAAACATCGTTGCAGATACTCCAGATTTCGTAATAAAAGGGAGGGGGTCTGGACCCTCCAAGACAAGCCATTTCAGACCTCCCCCGTGGGAGAACCCCCCCCCAGGCCCTCCAAGACAGCCTGGAAGAGACCCCCCCCCCGAAATGAGACCCCCCTCCCTTTTATTACGAAATCTGGAGTAGCTCCTCCCCGTTCGCGCCACCAGCGTGGGTCGCCCGAGGCTGGCCCACCGCTCCTGGCCCTGCAGCGTGAACATAAGGGGGGCGTTCGCTTCGGAGCCGCGCAGATGCGTCGCACAAGCTTACAGTGAAGGGGCCCCAGGACACACAAATAAATACACACAAATAAAACTAGTCCCCATGTTTTCCCATATTTTCTGGGTTTTTGTCTTCCCCCCCACTTCCCATATTTTCCATATTTTCCTGGGAATCGACGATTAATTGTGTCTGTGTGTTTTTTTCCTCCTGATACAGCAGTTTCAAGGATGGAGGGCGGCTGTGTGATTCCATGGAGCTATCGCCTGCGTAGGGAGCCCACAAAGGACGTACGCGCCCAGCTATGTACCTGAGCACGGCCCCTCGATTCGCGGGACCAGCCGCGTGACACGAACATTTGTGCAATGCGTGCTCTCGAAACCAACGTGGATTCATGTACATGTACGTCCTTCTTTCGCTCCTGACTGAGCGCCGCCCACACTCGTCCAAAAAAGTTTGCAGCAGTACCCGCATGGAAGACGGCTCCTTTATACAGTGAAGCTCTCCGCGGCGCGTCTCCGAGGGGGCGTTCCCCGCCCACGAGAAACACCAAGTGAATCTCGCAGCAAGAAACAATATTGGAACGACCTGGGTCACCCCTGCAGGGCGAAAACCGTGCACGTGGTCGCGTCGTCGCCGCCGCCGACGCTGTCGCCGCCGTTGCCGCCACGGCCGCGATCGCCGCCACCGCCTTCCTGCTGGGGGAGCAAGCAGGTACGGATATCGCTACTCCACGGACCTGTCCTGGAAACGTTCTGGCCAATACTTCGAGGCGAATCCGAAAGGCCCGGGCGCGGCGACGAGGAAGGATAAATATATATATATATATATATATATATATATAAATGTGTGTGTATATATATATACATATATCACATATACATACCGTAACACCTCGCAGGTGCGGATAAGAGTGAGGGGGCGGTGGGTACGTCGGCAGTTTGCGAGACTCTGGAGAAGCCCGCCGCAGGCGCCAAAGTTTCACAAATTATACAACGAGCCCGCCGCAGGCACCGATTTTTTCGTTAAACCAATGTGGATCGGTCGCAGGTGGGTCGCGAATGGGTCGCGGGTGGGTCGCGGGTGGATCGCTGATGGGTCGCGGGTGGGTCGCAGGTGTAGAGGCAGAAAATCCACCCCATAATAATCACCCCGACAAACGAAGCCGTTTAGTAAACGCACACAAGGGATGAATCGAACAGGGCATGGCTGTTTAGTCAACGCCCAGGGCTGTTTAATAAACGTCAAGTGTCGGGTCCAGGCGGGTTTTCCTCCCTTGAGACTGGGTCGCGGGGTGGGTCGCGGGTGGGTCGTGGATGGGTCGCGGATGGGTCGCGGTGGGTCGCGGGTGGGTCACGGGGTGGGACGCGGGTGGGTCGCGGGTGGGTCGTGGATGGGTAACAGGGTGGGTCGCGGGTGGGTCGCGGGGTGGGTCGCGGGTGGGTCGAGGGTAGGACGTGGACAGAAAACAACAAGCAACAACAACAACAACAACAACAACAACAACAACAACAACAACAACAACAACAAGAACAACAATAAGAATAAGAATAATAATAATGATGATGATGATAAAAATAGTAATAATAATAACAATAATAATAACAATAATAATAATTGTAATGCTGTTCGCCCTTATATGCTCGAGTGTCCAATAATGCGTATTTCCCAAACCCTCGATACCCGCCCTCTTCGTTTTCGATCGAACCCTTTTTGGGGGGTATACCTTTCTTCCCTGCAGGTCGGGCCCCGGCAAGCGGCGGGGCGGCCGCGGACCGTCGGCCTGGCCAGCGGCAGCGCTGATCGGCGGGGCGGCCGCGGACCGTCGACCCGACCCCAAGAGGGACGGACAGGGGACCGACCACGACGACGACGACGACGACGACGACGACGTCGAAGACGACGGCGACGACGACGACGACGGCGACGACGAGCGAAAGCGAGAGCGAGAGAGAACGACAGCAGGGCCACGAAGGGCACGAAGTAGGCCACGAAGGGCGACAGCGGGGACACGAAGGGAATGCGTATGAGGCCACGAAGAGCGCGAACGAGCGGGGGCCACGAAGTGCAGATAATGCGGGGCCACAGAGGGCAACGACGGGGCCACTGAGGGTAGCAACTGGGCCACGTAGGACAGTGAGGGGGACACAAATGGCGACAGCGGGGCCACGAAGGGCACGCACATGGGGCCACAACGGGCACGACTCCTGGGTGCCTGGGTGTCGGGAGCGCGGCGCTTGGGCAAATTGCAAGAAATTCCAACGCAAGGCCATTCTTCAGTAAGTTGCAAGCAAGTCTCGAGCGAGAGCGCGACTCCAGAACGCCGGGAGAGCGATTCCTGAATAAATTGTAAGGAAGTCCCAAGCGAAAGCGCGATTCCTGAAAAAATGCGAGGAATTCTCGGGCGGGAGCGGGGGTCCTGGCTAAATTGCAAGGAAGTCTCAAGCGGGAGCCGTTGTTGTTGTTGTAACCCGGGGGCCAGGGGGCCAGTTTGAGCAGGAAGACTTTCCCTGTCAAAAAACAAGGTGCGAGCGTCGAGGGGCACACTTTGATTGAGAAAAAACAGTCTGCACCGGTGGGGGTGGATCAACAATAATTGTTCTTCAGAAATGAGAATTCAACAACAGCAGCAACAACAACAACAGCAGCAGCAGCAGCAACAACAACTACAACAACTACAACAACAACGCAACAAGCAAAAATATCACCACGAATTCCTCATTCAGCCACGCACGCAGGGACAATGAACGACCGTTCGGCCCCCTCACTCTGATATATATATATATAGAGAGAGAGAGAGATGTGTATATATATATATATAGACCTGTAGCTACCCATCTGCATATAGAAACGGTTCTACATATACATATACATACACGCACGTAAATACGTAAACACACACGCGCATATACGTGTACAGATACATACCTGCACGTGTACAGGTGCGTGTACATATACATATACATATGCATGAACATATGAGTATGCATATGCATATACATATACATAGATAGACACATATACGTGTACATATGCACATACATTAGATGTGTACAACGACAAGTATAACTACACATATGCATATTCATATACCTATACATATACATACACATTCGCAAGCACATACGCGTACATATGTACATATACACACCTGCAAATACACATTCTGTTGTGTATACCTATAGTCATATGTTTACGTATAAATATACCATGCATGCATACTTGTATTGTACATGTATATACACATATACATTTACATATATGGATATACATGTATATATATGTATACATGTAGCGGCATCGGCACCATCTCCTCCTGAACTGCCGTCGCCAGCGTCGCCGCCGTCGTCCGCGTCGCAGTCGGCGTCGTCGATGCCGCGATCCTCCCCGCAGGGCGAGGACGTGTCCGTGCCCGCGTCGAGCGGGTCCGGCCAGGCGCGCCCTCGTCGCCCGATGGAGGCCTCGGGCTCGCTGCTGGGGGTTTCCGTGTCCTCGGAGCCCGGGTCGGTCCCGAAGTCCTCCGAGGCCTGCATCGAGCCGGCCCGGCGGCTGGCGCCCAGGCGCGGTCGGGAACTTTGGCTCAGCGTGCCGCGGCGACCGCAGCGACACGCGATGCCCTGCGAGCGGGCAGCGTGCCGCGCCGCTCCGCGGGGCAGGGGGCCGGGAAAGGCTCAGGACGTGAACGTCTGGGGACTGGGACGTGGATAGCGTGTCGCACCGAGGAGGAGGAGGAGGAGGAGGAGGAGGAGGAGGAGGAAGTGAGGAGGAGGAGGAGGAGGAGAGGAAGGAGGAGGAGGAGGAGGAGGAGGAGGAGGAGGGAGGAGGAGGAGGAGGGGGAGGAGGGAGGAGGAGGAGGAGGAGGAGGAGGAGGAGGAGGAGGAGGAGGAGAAGGAGCGACACGCTAAGCCAAAGTCCCTGACCGTAAGACAAGCCAAGATCCCAGTCTGAGTTTTGTCGCAAACCTCGGACTGGGATCGGTCAAGAGAACGCTCTGAAAGCGTTCCAGAGCGCGCTGGAGCGATTTATACCCGGGTCCCAGGCCCGCCCGACGAGGGCACCCCTCCCTGCTGCAGCTCTTTTTGGCGGCCCGAGCCGTACTGCGACGGGGTCTGCGTGCCCTACAGTTGGACTGAGGACAGAAGAACATCCTTCAAGAACATGGGACCCTCTGCTGGCCGTAACACACAGAAAATCCAAGGGTGCCCTCCCCAGGATGCACAAGAGCATCCAACAAGCACGAAGAACATGAGGGCACCCTCCCCGAACCGACCTCGATCATGTACCTCGGGCCGACTGCACCGGCGCTTGCAGCCACTTGGATGACCACGTGTGGGCACTGGACGGTTGGGGCAAGGGTGTGCAGAGACGCACGCGCAAGAGCGCGCAGAAAGATCATCGACTCATCCACCTCCTTTCCCAGGAACAGCCCCCCAGGCGAACCGGGCAGACGGAGCAAGCGGCCGAAAACCGACGTGCGCCGGGGACTGGTCCAAGTGTGTTTCGCGCCCCACTGAGACCAAGCCGCATTCCGAGCCGAGTCCAACGAAACCCAACGACGGGGAGAGAAACGCCGGGGGCAAAGAGGCGTCCTCCTTCACATCCCTCCCCGTTCAGTCATGCACTGAGGGGACGAAGACTG